GTGTCAGTTCAAGTGCATATGTGTTTTACACATTTAGGTTTGACTCAGTCTTCGATGTTGTGTTCCAAAAACATCAGTTGTAACACTCGCTCAACCATCTGACCAGTTTTAAATCTTTTAATAGAATACCTGACTACTCGTCCTTTGTTTTCTTGTGTCCCGAAACAAAATTAGTTTATTGTAGTCAGTATTAATTACTTGGAACTGTTCGAAGATACTTTATAAAAGGTGGCAAACTAATAAGAATAGAAAATAAGCAGAAAAATAAAGCAAAACAAAAAAGTAGCTTTTTGTAGGAGACAGTGAGTATCAAGAAAAAAGATACATAATTTGAGAAGATAATAATAATAATAATAATAATAATAATAATAATAGTAATACTTTGAGATTCAGACTGATTGTTCAAACCAACCAAGATTGGATCAGGATTTTGTGAACATCGAAAAGATGGTCTACTTGATTGCAGACGTGGTCGTTGGATTGAACAACAAGGTGGCGATGAGATCAAGTAAAAAACAAAAACAAAAAAAACAGCAAAAACATAGAAAAATATCAAGTCTTCACCTGGACAATTGTAAAAGCTGTGGGATATAAAGATGTATTAAAACTGTTTCAAAGACCTTAGATATGACACCGGATGAATTTGAGAATTTTGAGAACTGAGTCTGCTTAATTGGATCGAAGAAGGGATGGCAAGAATAGTGGGAAAGGTGTTAGAAAGTGAATAATAATAATAATAATAATAATAATAATAATAATAATAATAATAATAAATCTGTCCGGAACTAGTAAAAATTAATTTACTCACAGACATAACATATGTGTACTGGAAGATATGGAAGAAGCACAAAATCGAAACCACTGAGAGATGGTATGAGCACCAACCAGATACAGTTACTCAAAATACCGATGTAACTATCCTCTGGGACATGGTAGTTTAAACTGACAAGAAAATAAAAGCCAAAAGACCTGATATTATCATAAAAGACAAGAAATCCAGGAAGTGTATGCTTATTGACATAGAAATAGCATCTGAGAGAAACAACTCTACGAAAATTATCGAGAAATTGTCCAAATACAAGAACCTGGAGATCGAGATTAACGGGATGTAGGGAATGAAAACTGAGACTCTACCAATAGCAATCGGGACTCTGGGAATGGACAATTATACTAAAAGTCCCCCAGGTAACATCAACATACATGTTGCCCAGAAGATCGCCCTACTATGGACATCTCATATACTAAAAAACTGCTATCAATTAAATGGCAATTCTCCTATAGAGCCTAAATACCATAGTTTGGACCCGGTTCTACAGGATACAAAGCAGGAAACATAACATACACAAATAATAATAATAATAATAATAATAATAATAATGATAATAATAAATCCAGACGAACTGCTTTATCTAAAAAGGTCATTTCTGTATTTGTGCTGTGTGCGTGTGTATGTGTGTGTATTTTTGTGCTATTGGCTTATTTGGTAATTATATATTTGGTTAGTTTCCAGAAACAATATTTTTGTGTCTGGAAAGTCCCATTCTCTAGGAAACAGGCGTGGGCAAATTTGTACGGAAGGCAGTTGCTCATGGAGCAAGTCTTCCCACTCCATACCACCAAGGGTAAAGCGCCGGCTGAAACAGCTTAGCAACAATATCATTGCAAAAGTTGTCAGAACGGGGTTGAGGACAGCATCGGGCTGCCTTAGGGACTCCAGATTCAGATTTATCCTCAGGGCTTTCTTCTGAAAAATTTATCATGAATAGGTATGGCTGCAAGGCAGAGGGGATTTTTGGATACTCCTTCTCCTTTTAAACCAAAGCCCAGTTTGCATTACTATTTTACCCGTAGCTTGAGGAGAAGAGATTGGCATGCTTTTACCGAGGTCATAAGTACGAAGTGAACACAAACTGACTCATTCGAAATTCGAACTCGGTTCACCGATTCCATTTTCCGTGCTGTTAACCAGCGTCTCCATATTTGGTCTACAGGGAAACAGAATTAGAAACCTCGGTATCCGATTTCAACTCCTGATTTCACTATTGATTAAAAATGAGATTATAAAGCGTCTGCAAGGAACGGTGTGAAAAGGTTTTGATGTTTTCTTTTCTTTTTTCTTTTTATCAAAATGTTTATTTTTCTTTTGCCTGGTTTAAGTAGGATTTTTACTGAATTGTTATCAGTGTGAATCGTATAGACGGAAGAAGAGGAAATATTGTTAGTGCACGAACGATTGCTAAGAGACTGAGCGGAGATCAAATTCATTATCGATGCAGAGGTAAAGTTAAATCAAATAAGACGTGAAGTGAGCGTGAAAGTTATTGACAAGAAAGAAAAGCAGAAGAAAAGGCAAAGAAAAGAGAACCACAGTTAGAGAGAAGTTGATAGAGAATGTGTAAAAAGGTAAAGTCAAGAAGAAAACAAAAATGAATAATAAAGAATAGACAAAATTTTTAAAAAAAGAATATATATATATATATATATATATATATATATATATATATATATATATATGTATGTGTGTGTGTGTGTGTATGCATATATTTAATAATTAATATTTAATAAGATATAATAATATTAAGCTCTACTCTGTCTTGAGCCCTCTTTTAAATTAAATGTTATATACAGTGGAATTATACTCCATTTGTTCCCATTTTACCTGTATATATATATATATATATATATATATATATATATATACAATATTAGTGGTAAATATACACATACATATGCAATCATATATCTAAAATATATAAATATATATACATGCATACATACACATACATATATATATATATATATTTGTATAAAATAATTCAAGAGGATAGAATCCAGGTAGAACTCAATGTCCAGGACAGAGTAAGGATATAATAAAAAGGCTTAAACCCTAATATTCCATGGTCCTAATTTATTTCCATTGGAATCGTAAATACGATTCCAGTGGAATAAATTATGACCATGGAATATTAGTGTTAAAGCCTTTTTATTATATATATATATATATATTTTATATATATATATATATATATATATATATATATGTATGAGTTTGAGAGGATGTTTTTGAAGCTGAAATTGCTGATAGAAAGGCATTTAAGGCAAGCAGGCTTTGCTCAATATCAGAAATAAAGATAAGGCATTAATAGAATTAATATAAAAAACTTTTCCCTTAACTGATTGTAGAGTTTTGTGGCCACATAGATATTTGATTACTCTTTGGGGTGGACTATTTTGCTGATATATATATATATATATATATATATATTTTTTTTTTTTCTAAAGAATCAATAGATTTTGTAGCAAATATTATTTTCTACTGCTCCAAAATTTATTTTTGTGTATAGTCATGTTTGAGTAGGCATCTTTTTTTTACCAGTGTTGATTACGTCTACCGGTCTGCGCATTCGAGAGACGTAAAGTGTGCTTTCAGAGGACATTAAAAAAGAGGTCTACTCAAATATGAGTATGCCCTAAAATAACGTTTTCTATCTATCTATCTATCTATCTATCTCTATATTTTTGCATGTGTGTGGGTGCGTGTATATTTTCCCGTCGAGAACGATGAATGAGTTTTTAGTTATTACTGAACAACCTGCACAAGTGATTTGTTTAAAGTCGTCAATTGCCTGTGCATTGCAAGCAATGTACATCCTCTCCATCATACCGCTATTTTTCTCTACTATATATATATATATATATATATATATATATATATATATATATATATATATATATATATGTATATAGTGATTTTCTAAGCCCGGCTTAGATGTCGCACAAGGCCGAAAGTATGGGGCACCCAGTGAGGATCGAACTCACTACTCACTCGTAATTGATCTAGCAAGACAAGCTTTCTAACCATTACATCATATATAGTCGATTTCCCAGCGTTGAGGACGCTTCGACCTCAAGGACGCATCTGAATTTTCAAAAAAAAAGAAAAAAAATGTTATAGTACTGATTACATTTTCGAGATTTATTCCTTTCTTCACTTTCACTCTCTCTCGTATATATATATATATATATATATATATATATATACAGAGATAGATAGATAGATAGATAGATAGATAGATAGATAGATAGATAGATAGTGAGTGAGTGAGAAATAAAGTAGAAAGATTTGATAGTGTAAAAACTAGATAAAGGATGATAGAAAAATCTGTGTGTGCATGTGTGAGAACGTTCGTGAGAGAGAGAGAGAGAGAGAGAGAGAGAGTGAGAGTGTGTGTGTGTGTGTGTGTGTGTGTGTGTGTGTGTGTGTGCAACTAATTTAAAAATGGAAAAGTCCGGTGCCTGGGGGGCAAACTGAAAGTAAAAGCAGACTACGGGAGGGAAGAGTTAAAAATAGAACAAATTGCGTAAAACGGTTGGTGAGTAATTTTTAGGTGTCAGACCAGAAATAGATTTGGAGTCGCGAGTGAGTATAAAAAAAAAAGAAAAAAGAAGTAGTTTGAGATGCTTATACGTGCAGGGTGCACCCCTGAGTCGTTTAGCTCCGTCCAATCTCACTGAATTCGCATTTATGCTTCGTGGATATTTTTGGATTTTAAAATAATTTTTTTAATATTTATGGTACTCAATTGGTTTTATACTAGCCTCAGAATTGTCATATTTTTATGCTCACTAACGACCGTAGACTGACGGTCGGAGTAGCTGCGAAGAAAATCAACTAAGATTAAGAGGCAAGTAATACTAGTCAAAAATTAATAATGGTTGAATTTGATAGTTTGATTTGTTTTTAACGTCTTATCAACCTTTTTCAGATTATTTAAAGCCAGAAAATATTTTTAGGTCATAAGAGTCTTTTGAAGATAATAATGATTTACTGATACAAATTTTACTAATTAACCCATAGCTTCAGGAGAAGAGGTGGATTCATACCTTTTATAAGGGTATATGCGCCTATGTGAACGTAACGAACCCAACTTGAATTGAAACTCGGCTCTCCGATTTGCAATTCCGAACCGTTATCTATTACACCGTCCGCACACCTGACCTTACACCACTTACTATTCCCAAGCGGCCACCCATCTAGATACTAACCAGGCTCCACGTTGCTTAACTTCGGTGATCGTAAACGGAACGGTGAAACGTTCTGTAACGTAAACTGAACAATTTAGCAATGTTATCAAAATCAGTTTATTACATATTAAGAATAGTAAACCTATTCCGTAAGCCCATCCCAGACCCCAAGTGGAACTCGTATATACGATCGATCACTAAAAATGATATTCCAAGCGATTACCAATCTACTTACTGACCAGGCTCGACTTTGGTAATTCACTGTGATATGGCCGTAAGCCAATCGTGGTTAACAGTGATTCTTCTAATAATAAATTCAAGATAATATTATTGCTTATTTACTAATGGCCCGAGACTGATGGTTTGGTAGACGTGATAAAATGCAGCTAAAATTAATATGGAAGAAATACTAATCAAGCATTAATCATGGTTGACAATGTTTCATTTAATAAATTCAAGATAATAGCACTAATAATACTAACTACTACAGAATAAAATTCTGAGTAGCTGCTACGAAAAACAACTAAAATTAACATGAAAGAAATACTTGTCGAAAAGTAATAATGGCTGACAGCACTTCCTTTAATAATAAATTCAAGATAATAGACCAGTAATGCTAATGGGCGTAGAATGATGGTCAGTACAACTCCAATGAAAGCTAGCTGACGTTATTGGTCCTGACCTAGCATCTCAGCTTCAGTCACTTTCCCATTAGATATAACCGTAGCTTCTATACTAACAGAATCTTCACTCGCATTTTTCGCTTGTGAAACTCTCTTCCGGCTTTATCTTTAAAAATGTAAATGCTATTGTCAATCGTTATCTTCTGTCGTTTTAGTTCTTGTTCTTTTATTGTCTTCTCTTCGTAATAGTATATTTTTCTCATATTCTCTAACACTCCAATCACCTTGCATCTTAGGGGTTTTATTGGCTTGCTTCGGGTGAAATGATTAAGGAAAAAATGTCGGAAGAAATACGAGTCAAAAATGAATAATGCTTGACAATAAAGTAACAAATTAAAAAAAATTGACGAAATTATTATTCGAGAAAGTGAAAGTGAAAGTCGGACAATGGCAGATATTCGAGAAAGTGAAAGTCGAGCGTTGACCTTTGACATGTCAGTATTAGCTTATATATTTGAAACTTTTGATGCACTTGCTAATAATAATAAACATGTGCTAATTTCTTATCTGTTTATCCTGCTGATATTGTTAACACTTTATAACGACCTATGCAAAAGTTTTGAGACAGTGTTTAGACTAATTGCCGAGGGGAAAGATTTTCGGTGGGGGAGGGAGATGAAGTACAGAAAAGAGTCATATTTACGGAGGTGGGAGTGATATATGTTCGCTTGAGACTATATTTTACGATAAAGTTTATCAAAAGGTCGTGTTTATGAACTGAAAGTAGAATATTTGAAATTGAACTAAACATTACTCAAGTTGCTCGAGTCTAATAGAACTTTTGGCCAAGATATGACAATATTTAATATTATTCAGATTAGGTTAGCAAATTTATTTTAGTTCTTAAGTTACAAATGAACTACTTTTTGTAAAATGATAAAATAATAAATGTATATTGCTTTTTGATTTCACATCGGCTATTTTAAATTTTACCTCATATAAAGCTCGAGAGCCACTCAAGCTTAAAGGATTATAGCCAACAGAATGGTATTACTGAATGAGTTGTGTCGGGTTTGAATGGAAGAGAAAGTAGTGACAAATTAATATACAAAAGGAAGAAAAATAATCGACCCATGACTACGCATTGAACGTACCGTCGTGGGACAACCGGATGGCAGGAAGATATACAAGCGACCCACCCAAGAGGGAAACGACAGCGAGTCTCTCACATCGTCGCGAGAAGATCATTTTTCGGAGAAAACCTCCAATGACACACTTCCTTTACGCCGATATGAATTAACGAATTCTGGGGGTGGATCTCTATATATAAAGTTGTAGCCTCTGTCTATTTGTTTGTTATCGAACTCCTCCTAGTGTTTTGTAGATAGACCCCCATAACCATATATATTCTGAAACTACATTACCCAGCGTACTTGGATAAGTATATTTGACACCCCCCATCTCATTGATTTTTCCCCTTTGATTGAAATTAAATTTAAATTTGAACAAGGGAATGTCTGCTATTCAAAATATCGAAGGAGAAAGGCGGAAGATGGATGACACATCAGCAAGATCAAAATGAGACAATATGGACATATCAAAGGAGTTAGATCAGACATTTTTTTGCATCCCCACTGATTTTTTTTCCTCTTTGATTTAAATTAAATTTAAATTTGAACAAGGGAATGACTCCTATCCAAAATATAAAAGGAGAAAGCCAGAAGATGGAGGTCACATTGGCAAGATCATTGAGTAATATTGAAATGCATCAGTTTTCTCCACAAATTATAATAAGGATTTAAAATCAATCATCATTTTCTTACCAAAAAATGTGTCACGCAACAAGGTGCGGGTAATTCAGCTAGTAAACCATAATTTTACGCATAATAGATTTAGTCTTATCCCCTGCTATTCATTATAGTGATAACATTAGAATAGTGTTACGCCAACCTTTCAAGTAGAGAGAATCTACTACACAAGATTGAGAAGATGAAGTTCTCAACTTTCCCAAATGAGACCAACATCAGAGTTCCGAGTGGTTGTGCCTCTAAAGTGATAACAAGTGTGAACTAATGAAAACACGAAACTTGATTCTTTCGTATTAACATGACATTTTATCTACTCCAGTAACTCGTCAATTCCCGTCGGCCAGTGTGCGTACGTGTACGGCCGGCCCCAGGTCCATGTTTAAGACACTGTCTCACTCTTCTCGGAGCGTTTGTTTATATATCCACCTGTTCAACGCTTTTTCACACGCGACTCCCTATCGGGCATAGCATGGCTCACAGGTATTCACCTCTTGGTCTCACCAATGTCATCAGGTGAATCACATATCTTTACCCTCAGCTGGAATTATCTTACGTCAGACCTTCACCTTGTTTCCTTGATGCGTGAAATTAAGTGCAAAGCCTATTCTTGCTTGGTTCAGGGCGATTATTTTTGCAGTTTCTGGCCTTTTTAACCGCTTTTAAGCTCTGAAATGATTAAACAATTTCTTTTATCCGATTTTAGCTTAACCGTCCATTTTAAAGCTTCAAACTTGCAACTTTGCAATTAATTTGATATTTCGAAGAAAGTGGTGGAATTGAAGCGGTGACTAGAAAAGGAAAAGGTTGAAAATTTAGGCTACTAGAAAAGGAATTAATGAAACCGACATACGTCGTAGAGGTTGTCCCAGAGCAGATGAAACTGTATCTAGAAGTATTATAGGATGTGATCATTAAACAGCTTCATATGTATTCAAATCTGTAGCCTATTTGTTACCAATGATTAACAATATACTGGCTTTGTTAGAGAATGCAATTTGTCCCTCTATTCTGGATCCGAGATCGGGTTACAGGCAGGTGACTTTAAAAGATCTTCTTCGGCTTCTATGTGCCGCCTCCCTTCAGGACATGGGGGATCATAGCTTTCCAAAACTTACTATCCCTTGAAGCCCTTGGCAGTTTTTCTCCTCTTGCCAACGCCCCCGTCCACGTTCCGCCATCTATTCACTCAAGCTCGTCAGATAGGTTCGCTGCCCCCTATCACTTTTTCCTTCTTTATACTCTTTATGAGTGTTAAGTTTTCCAAGCGCTGCGTCCTCATTATGGATTTAAGGAATTTCAGCTGTCTCTTCCTGATTGTGAACATAAGTAGTTTTTTGTGGCCATTGTATTTAAGACTTCCTTATTGTTTACTCTCTCCATCCATTCTCAGTATCCTTCTGCAGAACCAAATTTCTATTGCCTCCAGTTTTTTCCTCATGTGTGGGGGGATTACCCAGCATTCACTGCTATATAAGAGGATGGATATCATATAACAATCCATCAATCTTTTTCTTTGTTTCTAAGGAATCTTTTCTGTTTATCAACACAATGCTTAGCTTTTGGAAGGCATCTTTTGCTAATACGATACGTCTTCGGATTTCGGTATCACATTTTCCATAAAGATGCCATGTTGGATTCTATGAATTCAGGTTTATGTTTTTTTTTTGTTTTTTTTTTTAATGCACACGGACTCATCCAGTAGCTCCTGTCGATAGTATTAAGCTGGGTTAGGGAGACGCTCGATGGCTTCCGAGTCAATGTTTTGATTTTATTAAGAGACTCGAATTGACATTTTTGGTATCTGCAGTCAAGATTCAACAGACTGAAGTTTTTAAAAAAACATTTCACCCCCAAGAAAGGCAATAAAACCACTAAGATGCAAAGGGTTACTAAATGTTAGAGAATAACAGAAAAAGAAAACATTATTACGACGAGGGAACTATAAAGTAACAGGAATTTAAACTGAAGATAACGATAAATATTGCATTTAAATGTTTGGAAACGAAAGTTGACTGGAAGAAGTCCGATAGAAGAAACTGTTAGCAAGGGACTTACGGTTACATTTAACCATTTCAACTGTAAAATGATGAGATGTTGCAGCCAATCTAGTACTGCGCTTAAATTCATAAAGTCTAGGTACCATAGCGAAAAGTTCATCAGAATAATTACCATGAAAGTATTTATAGAAAAAACACAGAGGAGCTCCGTTAAGTCGGTGGGAAAGTGACTGAAGCCGAGACGCCATGTCAGGATCAATAACATTGCAGATTTTTTTTGTATTTATCAAGAATCTCTAAATACAAAGCAAAAGCACCAGACCAGATGGAACAGCAATATTCAATGCAAGTTAAAATTAAAATTGCCAAAATGCCGGTTCCTGAACGAGGAAACCAAATATCTGGGATTCATTATAAACGTGAACGAGGTGAAACCAAATACAGATAAGGCAGTAGTAATTCAATCCATGCCGGAGTCTTTTACAGTGTGAGAAGTTGAGGGATCTATTTAAAGTAATTAGGTTTTGCAGGAGACCTACATCTGCATTTTCAAGAATTGCCAGTTCTCAAAAATAAATGTAACAAAATATATTACGCGAGGTGTACGATTCGATTACGATTTATTTGTTTAACGAC